TCTTTTATTTTATTTTACAGTTAAATTATTGTTTATGTAATTAGGGATTTTTTGTAATCTTAAATGTGGCAGAAGCACTTTGTTCCTACATGAACTGCCCACTTCTTGCAAAAAAAAAAAAAAAAAAAAAAAAAGACCTTATGGAATTTGGCAGATTTGTTTTTGCAGTTTTCAGTTTTAGGGGGTTATTTTTTCTTGAACATATATGGAGATATATATCGTATATGGAGATATATATCGTATATTGAGATATAGCAAAATATATCGAGATATATTTTTTGATCCATATCGCCCAGCCCTAGTGTGTGGTAGGGATGGGCATGATTATTCGATTAATCGCTAATTGATCATTAAGAATTTCGTCGATTACATTCATTTTTAATTGACAAACTGAATGTAGGTCACTGTGTGTAGCGTAGGGCGACCAAACGTCTGTTTTTCCCTGGACATGTCCGTTTCCCACGTCCTGTCCTGATTGTCTGTTTTTTTTTTTTCTTTTATAAAGTGATGCAAATGTCAAGGTTTTTATTTCCGTTCATTGGGTCATTAAACTGCATCAGAAGGAGCGAGACACAGTCAGTCTGTCTGAAACACGCCGAAACACAAATTAGTGTTTAACAATGACTTGTACAAGAAATTCCACACTCTCCATCCCGGTCAAGACATGTGTGAGTCCATGTGCACAGTGTGTAAAGCAGCACGTATGTGTCAGGGTCCAGTGTGTCAGGGACCTCAAAGCACCAGGACACAGAAAAACATGAAAAAGTTTTTCCAGGTGAGAGTCGCTCGATGTGGATGAGGAGGCCCCGCCCCCCTCCCCCCGTACGCTGTCCTGGTTTTGACAAACACAAATCTGGTCACACTGACCTGTATTCACCTGAGTCATGTCTTTTAATCCAACACAAGTTGAACCACATCAGCGACACAAGAGCTGGAGTTTTATCTTCACTTAGTTTATGTAAATGAGTCATGTGGTTTTAAGTTTTGTTTCTGTGAGATTCTCCTGGCGATCAATTAAGAAAATTTAATCGAATGCCCATGGTCAGTGTGTGTGGTCAGTGTCTCTGGTCAGTGTGTCTGGTCAGTGTGTCTGGTCAGTGTGTCTGGTCAGTCTGGTCAGTGTGTGTGGTCAGTCTGGTCAGTGTGTGTGGTCAGTGTGTGTGGTCAGTCTGGTCAGTGTGTGTGGTCAGTCTGGTCAGTGTGTGGTGTGTGTGGTCAGTCTGGTCAGTGTGTGTGGTCACTCTGGTCAGTGTGTCTGGTCACTCTGGTCAGTGTGTCTGGTCAGTGTGTGTGGTCAGTCTGGTCAGTGTGTGTGGTCAGTCTGGTCAGTGTGTCAGTCTGGTCAGTGTGTGTGGTCAGTCTGGTCAGTGTGTGTTGTCAGTCTGGTCAGTGTGTGTGGTCAGTCTGGTCAGTCTGGTCAGAGGTGTAGAGGAGGTAAACAGGTTTAAGTTTTAATGAGTGTGACCTCCTGCTGTGAGAGTCGAGACTCACCTGAACCTCCCCAAAGCTTTTATACAAGTTAAACTCGACACCAGGACACAGACGCAGACAAAACTCAGTTATTTTACTGTTGGTACAATACACACCTGGCACATTTCACAAAATAAAAAAACTGCACCTCAGTATTATTAATAACGCATCAAAGTCCTCGTTTACATTATGATTTTTTTTTTTTATTGTGAATTAAATAGTTCAAAATTTAAATATTCTCCTTCAAGTTTACAAGGAAATAATAATTCTGAGTTGTTGTTTCCGTGTTAAACTGGGGAAATGTTTTTTATTTAATGTGTGTGAGCGTCTGGGGAAGGTTCTGATTGGACAGAGACGCCAACGGATTTACGTCTTTGTGAAGAAAACACAAACTTCAGCTGCTCCCGGCTTTTCTGTCGTCTCGGTTTGTCGTTCCTCCACGGACACAAACACCATCCAAACTTTTCCCGCAGTGGTTCTGATGATAATTTTGAAGCAGCGGCTGGAGAATCATGCTTATTCTTGTTAAAAATAATGTTGGTGATTCAGTGCATGCTTGTTGTGTCGCCCTTCTGACGCGATCCAAACGATCCGGCTCCACCAGTCCTGGCTTCGGACTTTCATCCACGTCTCTTTGGATTTGTGAGCGGGACGCGGGAGTGGGCTGAGGTAGAGCAGCCTCACACTCAGTTTGTCTTCTTCCTCCTTCTCCGACACTCTTCCCGTTCTCCTCGTAAAACCTGATGAGATAATTCTCCAGCCCCAGACGCTCACACACATTAAATAAAAAACATTTCACCAGTTTAACACGGAAACAACAATTCAACATTATCTCCATGTAAACTCCAAGGAAAATATTTTAATTCCCAACTAGGGATGGGCATGATTAATCGATTAATCGATAATTGATCATTAAGAATTTCATCGATTACGTTAATTTTAATCGACAAACTGAATGTATGTTTGTGTGTCGTGACCAAACAGGTGTGTACATGTGTCTCTGCATCAGAAGGAGCGAGACACAAACAGTGGGTCAGTCTGTAACGAACCGAAGCACAAATGTGGATTTAACCAGGATTTGTAGAAGAAATTCCACACTTTCCGTTGCGTTGGGACAAGTGTGAGTCCATGTGCACAGTGGATAAAGCAGCACATATGTTTCTGTGTCCAGTGGGAAAAAGTTTTTCCAGGTGAGAGTCGCTCAATGTGGATGACGAGGCCCCGCCCCCCTCCCCCGTACGCTGTCCTGGTTTTGACAAACACAAAATCTGGTCACACACTGACCTGTATTCACCTGAGTCATGTCTTTTAATCCAACACAAGTTGAACCACATCAGCGACACACGAGCTGGAGTTTTATCTTCACTTAGTTTATGTAAATTAGTGATGTGGTTTTAAGTTTTGTTTCTGTGAGATTTGAACAAAAGTGAATTAAACACATTATAATGTCAAACAGCTGATGTGGATCTAGAGTCGTTATGTTTATATGTCGTAAAGTTGAATTTATTTATGCAGATTAGTGCAGATAGTAATAATAATGATGATCATTTTAATATAAAAACGTTAATGATTAATCGATAATCGACTGTTAATTCTTCCGACGATCGATTAAGAAAATTTCATCGAATGCTCGTCACTATTCCCAACTATTTAATTCAGAACAATTAGAAAACATCATGTAAACATGGACACTTTGACAATACTAATATTTCTGTTTCGCTCTGAGGGAGTCTCTGTCCTGTCTGGTGTCGTGTCGGTGTCTTGTGGGATTTCAGTGGATTTCGGGCTCTTCCTGGGGGCGGGGCTTGTTCTGTCACTCGGGTTTGGGTTTATGTCGGCTGTTGGGGTTTGAGACATTTCTACTCGTCGTTTGTGCGCTCGCTGAATTTGACGCATGTGTCTGTTGAGACGTGTCCCGCTCACCAGTGTTGATTCGGCGTCATGACTTGTTTTGGCACTCGGAGATGAACTGTTTTGTCACTGACAGCGGCGTTTGTGTCGCGGCTTCATGTGAACCGCACAGACAGCGGCGCTTTCTGCACTCAGGCTGCGCGCGCATCCACTGTGTCGATAAACACAGCACACGTTGGTACAAACGTCATCACGCTTGTTCAACGAGACGAGTCAGAGCGACAGAAGCTTCTAACATTCACCCTCTTTGAGAACGAGAGAGACACGAGGAAAACAAACAAGCTGCAAATAGAACTTATCGCCGCCGGAAAAGTTATTGAGCTTGTTTAAAGTTATCGTACGATTAATTGATTTATTGATTATCGTTACAGGCCTATTATATACTTTTCTTTGTTGTTTGCAGGTGATTTACTTGAAGAAAACTCCTGAGGAAGCGTACAGAGCTCTGGTGTCTGGGTCCAACGCCTCCTACCTCCCCTTCAGGTGAGACACGGAACTGCACCGGATTAAAATCACCGCACTAAAGGAACTACAACAGTCACAACAGAAAAACAAACTGGCACAGAGGGATTCTACGTTTAAACGACACGTGAAAAACAGAAATAGTGTGAAAAAACAAGTTACAGCTGCATTGTTAAACTTTTCTGGTGGTGGAGGCTTCGTCCAGCGCTTTTCTTTCTTCATGGAGATGTTGTCGCTTTGTCTGGAATGTTCCACAGTATGACTTTAAACCTTTCCATCTTCACGGAGACCAAACTAGACCAAGTGACAGGTCAGATCTGTGGAGAGGCGACCCCGCTCACAGTCACAATATCTGTTTTTTAGGTATTTTTGAGCTTTAAAACCACCTGTGATTGAATAAATAAATAAAGTAGAGCTGTTTAATAAAGTCACACTGTGGAACATTCCGGGCAGAGTAATGACGTCTCTATAGAAACAAGCAGGCGACGGACCCTCAACCGAAAAGTTACACAGTGTAGCTTTAATGTCACTGAGTGTTCGAGGTGGAAATGGAGAAGTAGTTTTGAACGATTTCAAACCTGATCTGATCCTTCACCACAGAAAAGAGGAGCTGAACTGTCGTTTGTTTTGCCAAAATCCACAAAACCGTGTTTGTGAATGAACATAAAACAACAAAAATGCAGCGTCAGATGTTCCTCAGATCAGCTCACGAGAATTCACAAAGTTTCAGTTTTATTTACACTAAACATCCAAACTCGGGTGTGTCCAAGGTCAGAATTTATAAAATCTGCTCTGGGGTCAGTTCACTGTTCTGACCTTACAGTTTGTTTTTTTATTTTGTATTTTTCTTATTATTTATTTCTTATTTATTTATTTTCTCCTAAAATTTTGGTTTAGTCCTGATTTTAGTCCTGGTTTTAGTCCTGGTTTTAGTCCTGGTTTAGACCTGATTTTAGTCCTGGTTTAGTCCTGGTTTAGTCCTGGTTTAGTCCTGGTTTAGACCTGGTTTAGTCCTGGTTTAGACCTGATTTTAGACCTGATTTTAGACCTGGTTTAGACCTGGTTTAAACCTGGTTTAGACCTGGTTTTAGTCCTGGTTTTAGTCCTGGTTTAGACCTGGTTTTAGTCCTGGTTTAGTCCTGGTTTAGTCCTGGTTTTAGACCTGGGTTTTAGACCTGGTTTAGACCTGGTTTTAGTCCTGGTTTTAGTCCTGGTTTAGACCTGGTTTAGACCTGGTTTAGACCTGGTTTTAGTCCTGGTTTTAGTCCTGGTTTAGACCTGGTTTTAGTCCTGGTTTTAGTCCTGGTTTAGTCCTGGTTTAGTCCTGGTTTTAGTCCTGGTTTAGTCCTGGTTTAGACCTGGTTTTAGACCTGGTTTAGTCCTGGTTTAGTCCTGGTTTAGTCCTGGTTTTAGTCCTGGTTTAGACCTGGTTTTAGTCCTGGTTTTAGTCCTGGTTTAGACCTGATTTTAGTCCTGGTTTAGTCCTGGATTTTAGTCCTGGTTTAGACCTGGTTTAGACCTGGTTTAGTCCTGGTTTTAGTCCTGGTTTAGACCTGGTTTTAGACCTGGTTTAGTCCTGGTTTAGTCCTGGTTTAGACCTGGTTTTAGTCCTGGTTTTAGTCCTGGTTTAGACCTGGTTTTAGTCCTGGTTTAGACCTGGTTTAGTCCTGGTTTTAGTCCTGGATTTTAGACCTGGTTTAGACCTGGTTTTAGTCCTGGTTTTAGTCCTGGTTTAGACCTGGTTTAGACCTGGTTTTAGTCCTGGTTTTAGTCCTGGTTTAGACCTGGTTTTAGTCCTGGTTTAGACCTGGTTTAAACCTGGTTTAAACCTGGTTTTAGACCTGGTTTTAGTCCTGGTTTAGACCTGGTTTAGACCTGGTTTTAGTCCTGGTTTTAGTCCTGGTTTAGTCCTGGTTTAGTCCTGGTTTTAGACCTGGTTTTAGTCCTGGTTTAGTCCTGGTTTAGACCTGTTTTAGTCCTGGTTTAGTCCTGGTTTTAGTCCTGGTTTAGACCTGGTTTAGACCTGGTTTAGACCTGGTTTAGACCTGGTTTTAGTCCTGGTTTAGTCCTGGTTTTAGTCCTGGTTTTAGACCTGGTTTTAGTCCTGGTTTTAGTCCTGGTTTAGACCTGGTTTAGTCCTGGTTTTAGTCCTGGTTTAGTCCTGGTTTAGACCTGGTTTAGACCTGGTTTTAGTCCTGGTTTTAGACCTGGTTTAGACCTGGTTTAGACCTGGTTTAGTCCTGGTTTAGACCTGGTTTAGACCTGGTTTAGACCCTTTATTTTTGTCTGAGCCAAACACATGTGTAAAAAAACTATCCCAGGATCGTTCTCTCTTTCTCGTCTTGTCGTGGTTTTATCTCCTGACGTCCTGAGTCGGGTTTTAACGATCTCCAAATCTCCCGGTACGACATCATCACGACATGAACCTCACGCTACCATATTTATTAAGATATTTTGAAGATGTGACACTTTTTTGCTTTTAAAACACCTTGACAAGAGTTTAATGTGAATTATTTCCGTCACAATCCCAAGAATTCAAGTCAAAAACACATTTCTTCGTGTCGTTTGCGCTGAAATGCATCATGGGAAATGTAGTTCTCTGTTTTTAAGCTGTTTCTTCTATAAAACCTGCATTTAAACAAAGAAACTTGTGATTCGAGACATTCTGACAGCAAAACGATTTTACTGTGAGACTTTTGAGACGATATTTTAGTGATTGTGACATCCCCAGTCCTGAGATCTGGTCCCTGAACGCCTCACGCTCTCTTTACAATCCTCTGTGTTTGTGAGATAAAGAACGATTTCTCAAATAGGAAAAAGAAACAGATCAGAAAACGGTAAAAAATGAACAGATATAAAATGTTTCTGTTTACTCCCCTCCTCTCTTTCTCTTTCTCTTTCTCTGTCCTCTTTTTTTTTCTTTTTGTCTTTCTGTTTGTTGTGAGGCCGCTCTCTGTGTTCGAGCCCCGACTGTCCAGGAAAACACTGGGCCTTTTGTCCTGCACCTCTCCTCCTCCTCCTCCTCCTCCTCTTCCTCCTCCTCTATCTCCACCCCTTCACCAGTTTGTCTCTCTCCATCCTTCCTCTCTCTTCTCCTCTCTTCCTCTTCCTCTTCTCTCCACCTTCCCCCCTCGTCTCTCTGTTCTTTCCTCTTCTCTGTCTGTCCTTCTTTCCTTTCCTCTCTTCTCTTCTCCTTTCTTCTCTTCTCCTCCCTCGCTCCGTGCGTCTCTTACGTAACCGTGGGTGTTTTAATGAGCGCTGTGGATTAAACCCGATGCCCCGCCCCTCGCGCAGCAGCAGAAGTGCCGCTCGTTTGTTTTAAGTCTTTTTAATCTTTGCTGGAATTTCCACCGTTTCAGAGAATTTCTCCGGAGTCACTAGAGTCTCTGTAATAAATAAAGACTTCACGGAACATTTCTCATCCTTACACTGTTCTCCGTTCACAAGAGAAAGTGACCTGCAGCGCTCGGTGTGAAGAACTGTTCAGACTGAGTGTGACGTCACCCACAGTGTTCTGCTCCAGTCAAATGAAGCTCACTGAGGCCTGCAGCGACGAGGGCAAATTTAGAGCTCCATGTTTGGAATTCTGACCGGGAGTATCATAGCAACCGGTTTAGTCCTGGTGTAGTCCTGGTGTAGTCCTGGTGTAGTCCTCGTTTAGTCCTGGTGTAGTCCTGGTTTAGTCCTGGTTTATTTCTGGTTTAGTCCTGGTTTAGTCTTTGTTTAGTCTTTGTTTAGTCCTGGTTTAGACCTGGTGTAGTCCTGGTTTAGACCTGGTTTAGTTCTGGTGTAATACTGGTTTAGACCTGGTGTAGTCCTGGTTTAGACCTGGTTTAGTCCTCGTTTAGTCCTCGTTTAGTCTTTGTTTTGTCTTTGTTTAGTCCTGGTTTAGACCTGGTTTAGACCTGGTTTAGTCCTGGTTTAGACTTGGTTTAGTCCTGGTTTAGACCTGGTTTAGTCCTGGTTTAGTCCTGGTTTAGACTTGGTTTAGTCCTGGTTTAGACCTGGTTTAGTCCTGGTTTAGTCCTCGTTTAGTCTTTGTTTTGTCTTTGTTTAGACCTCATTTAGACCTGGTGTAGTCCTGGTTTAGACCTGGTGTAGTCCTGGTGTAGTTTTTGTTTAGTCTTTGTTTAATCCTGGTTTAGACCTGGTTTAGTCCTGGTTTCATGTTTGTTTGTTTTTTTAATTGTTCATATTAACCCGCTCTATATGATCCTGTTTTTTTGTTGTTTGTTTGTGTTTTTTTGTTTTTTTCTCGCTGTTTTGTGCGTCATAGACATTTTCTTCATAACAGAGTCTCGCTCCTGTAACCGTTAGAATCACGAGCTTCATGTGCGTGTGACGTCCACTTCTTTGTACAGTCTGGCTTCTGTAGGCTCTGTGGTCCTGGGCCGGTCCTGGGCCGGTCCTGGGACTGAGAGCAGGTGCAGTATTTGTCAGAGTTTGTCTAAGTGAAGTCTTGTGTTTGTGTAAATGAAGTCAGCGCGAACACGTCACACTCTGTTATAACTCTGACTCTTTTTACGGGACGTGACTCCAGACTCTGCACTGAGCTGTGAGACGACAGGAAGATCGAACCAACAACTCACTGACACACGAGGAAAACACCCTCAGTAAATTTAGATTTCAAGAGTTTAATATCAAAAAAAGATATCTTGATTTTGAAATAAGGGACAGACTCAATAAATTCTGATTCTGAAACCACGATGAGAATAAAACTCCTCTCTCTTCTGACAATAGAAGGTGATTTTTAACTCGTAGTTCTGTCTTTTCTATTCCCACCTGGCCTCATCTGTTCAGTCCTGTCTTGGCCCTGGTTTAGTCCCGGTTCAGTCCTGGTTTAGTCCTGGTTTAGTCTTGGTTTAGTCCCGGTTCAGTCCTGGTTTAATCCTGGTTCAGTCCTGGTTTAGACCTGATTTAGACCTTGTTTGGTCCTGGTTTACACCTGGTTTAGACCTGGTTTAGTTCTGGTTTAGTTCTGGTTTAGTCCTGGTTTAGTTCTTGTTTAGTCCCGGTTTAGTCCCGGTTTAGTCCTGGTTTAGACCTGGTTTAGACCTGGTTTAGTCCTGGTTTAGTTCTTGTTTAGTCCCGGTTTAGTTCCAGTTTAGACCCGGTTTAGTCCTGGTTTAGACCTGGTTTAGTCCTGGTTTAGTTCTTGTTTAGTCCTGGTTTAGTTCTTGTTTAGTCCCGGTTTAGTCCCGGTTTAGTCCCGGTTTAGTCCCGGTTTAGTCCTAGTTTAGTCCTGGTTTTAGTCCTGGTTTAGTCTTGGTTTAGTCTTGGTTTAGTCCTGGTTTATACCTGGTTTAGTCCTGGTTTAGTCCTAGTTTAGTCCTGGTTTAGACCCGGTTTAGTCCCGGTTTAGTCCCGGTTTAGTCCCGGTTTAGTCCCGGTTTAGACCCGGTTTAGTCCCGGTTTAATCCCGGTTTAGTCCCGGTTTAGTCCTAGTTTAGTCCTGGTTTTAGTCCTGGTTTAGTCCTGGTTTAGTCCTGGTTATAGCCTTATTCTTTTGGTTTGGATCAGACTTTGGACTTTGGAGGAAGAAATTTGATGTTTTTTTTGTTGTTAAAATGAGTCGGTTCTATTTTTTACTTCACCACTTTTGTTTTAAATCAGACAAAATAAAAAACTTGTGATCAGTTTAATAAACGGAGGATCGTGAGGATCAGTCACATTGATCCCAACACGATGGAATCTTAAGAGTCCCAGAGGCGACCAGCAGGGGGCAGCACACTTCACTCTGTCACTCACTCATTTCAAATCTACGTACGGTTTTTTTCTGTCTTAACGGGAAAAACACAACCTGTTCCGTTTGAGCAGTTTCCAGTGTCCAGGTCCAAAGTTCTTCCTCACTTCCATTATGGTTTCAGAGCGTCCAACAGTGTCCAACTAGCATGTTAAGTGTGCACTTCCTGGATCTCAGCCAATAAAAAGCTTTATAATTAGATTTATTTTTATTTTTATTTATTTATTTATTTCATAAAGCATAAAAAGACATCGACAGTGTCACAACATCAGACACACAAGAAATTAAAGAAAAGGAGCAGAAAGAAGAAAAAATCTTCTGTTCTCTGCCCCCTTTTCCTTTTTCAAGACAAAACATCAACACCGATGGTCACGAAACATCCCAGATCAGTTCAGGCACAATTACTGATTAATAATAATTAATGATAATTGTAAACAGTAAATCTTCATTATTATACACAACAACTTAGTTTTCTTTTTCATACAAACACACTGCATTCGATTTTATATGTTTTTTAAATGTCGTCATTGTACTTGATTCTTTTATTTCTTTGTCAAGATTCTTCCATAAGTTTAACTCCTTTCACAGCGACGCTTCGCTCCATAAACTCTGTTCTGAATCTGGGTTTTTTAAACATGTAGGTTCCTTTTAAATTGTCGTGTTTTGTTCTCGTCTCAGTCGTTGAATATTTACAGGTGACACTCTGCACTTTGCTTTAGACACGACGTTGAGGAGACTTTAAGTTGAGCAAATATTGGGTTGTTTGTCTCTCTACAGTATAAAGTCTGTTGGTGATAATTCTTAAGGCCCTTTTTTGTAAAATAAATAAAGGTTGTAGGTAGGGACGGGCATTCGATGAAATTTTCTTAATCGATCGTCGGAAGAATTAACGATCGATTATCGATTAATCATTAACGTTTTTATATTAAAATGATCATCATTATTATTACTATCTGCACTAATCTGCATCAATAAATTCAACTTTACGACATATAAACATAACGACTCTAGATCCACATCAGCTGTTTGACATTATAATGTGTTTAATTCAGTTTTGTTCAAATCTCACAGAAACAAAACTTAAAACCACATCACTAATTTACATAAACTAAGTGAAGATAAAACTCCAGCTCTTGTGTCGCTGATGTGGTTCAACTTCTGTCGGATTAAAAGACATGACTCAGGTGAATACAGGTCAGTGTGACCAGATTTGTGTTTGTCAAAACCAGGACAGCGTACGGGGGGAGGGGGGCGGGGCCTCGTCATCCACATTGAGCGACTCTCACCTGGAAAAACTTTTTCCCACTGGACACAGAAACATATGTGCTGCTTTATCCACTGTGCACATGGACTCACACTTGTCCCAACGCAACGGAAAGTGTGGAATTTCTTCTACAAATCATCGTTAAATCCACATTTGTGCTTCGGTTCGTTACAGACTGACCCACTGTTTGTGTGTCTCGCTCCTTCTGATGCAGAGACACATGTACACACCTGTTTGGTGACGCTACGCACAGCAACCTACATTCGGTTTGTCGATTAAAATTAACGTAATCGATGAAATTCTTAATGATCAATTATCGATTAATCGATTAATCATGCCCATCCCTAGTTGTAGGTGAGTTTTACACGTTGAACCCCAAATTTCCACACAGTCCATCAGATCTGGTACAATTCTAGAGTTAAACAAAGTTAATAATGCTGCACTATTTAGTGAGAACTTTACTTTATGCAGAACAGCAATGGCTTTGGAAATTTTGCCTTTTGTGTCATTTATATGAGACAAACTCCAGTTTAGACGTTCATCAATCAATCAATTCGATAAATAAATAAAAACAATAAATCAATTAGATGCAGGCAGTTCACAGAGGATTTATTTTGATCTCAAGAGCTGCTTATGCAACACATCAATACAAAAATTAAAAAAATAATAAAATCCGGTACAGGGACTTTCACTCTCACACACTTTTTATTGGAGGGAAAGAGTTGATCATTTTTGCTTTTAAACCGTGACTTAAATGAAGTAAAACCTTTTTCCTCGTGTCGTCTCGCTGTACTGGAGTCTGTACGTGAGTGTGTGAGTGACAAACCCTCACTGTCACACACACCTGCTCCACTCCAAACTTCCACTGTGCTTCAGTTTGTCAGAGTGAAACACACAGAACTGTCATCAAACCTGAACCCAGGATGTGTCGTGTTGTTTTCAGGGGTCTGTGCTCTTTGACTCATGGGCCCATAAATTATTTTCTCTGCTGCATTTTCTTCCTCATTTGCTTGGTTTCAGATAATTCTATAGACCAATACTTTTTACTATTGTTAGAGCCCAGATTTGTGTTGTAAAACGTTGAGGTCTTGGGTCTCGTCAGTTTTAGAAATGAACAGATTCGACATTTGTGAATTGACCTTTTGGATATTTCATGGCAAAGTACAAGATAATCAATAACGAAATGTGTCCCTCGCGTCCCGTCTGGGAGTATGACGACATCACGTTCTACAATTTGAAAACCACCAGTCCAGTGGAGCTCGTCCCACCCGTGTGTCGTCTGTGATGTGCACGGCGTCGAGCGTCTGGACCGATCAGGGCGAGAGCTGCGAGAGCGGAGCTACAGCGGAGCTACAGCGGAGCTACAGCGGAGCTACAGCGGAGCTACAGCGGAGCTACAGCGGAGCTACAGCGGCTCAGAGCGGCTCAGAGCGGCGAGGCTCAGTCCGACAAAGATCACTTTAGGACGAGGATTTAGAAACATTAAACATTTATTAAGTTTATGTTGTGAAAATAGAAAAGAATCCTACAACTAATCCAGAACAGGGCGGCTCGTGTGTCTCTGTGTTGTCCGTTTAGGAGCAGCGTGAGCGTCGTGCACGAGAGGTTCTCCTGGTTTACTGTTGAGGACAGATTTACCTGTAGCCTTATTTTGTTTTTTAAAAAAGTCTGTATTTACAAAGACCTTTGAGCCTGTTTGCATAACTACTGCCCTCTAGTGGTGGGCAGGTTTTATCACAAGACGAGCTTCACATGGACATTTTACACTTCCACTGCCCAGGACTAATGCTCTGAAAAGAAGTGTTGTGTACAGAGCGACAGAGCTTTGGAACACGCTCCCCCAAACCTCAACTGTTCACAAACATGAACCAAGTTTTACGGAAATGTTAAAGAAATATATTGGAAATTGTACATAATTATATTTAGTCACTCATTACACATTGTAATTTATTGGATATATTATAATTGCAGTAGTGTTGTGTAGTGCAGTAAACTGTGGAACAGGACTGTATGAACTTATGTGTCAACTTTTTGTTATTATAATGGAACATTTTATTGTAAATTATGCAAACTTGGACCAGGAAGAATAATCTTTACGCCAGTGAAGACTAATGGGGATCCAATAAATAAATAAAATCCAACCTTTGTAAAAGCCAGATGCCCTGTCAAAACACGGGCAGGTTGAATTCCCAAAATGCATTGCAATGGTCTGTGGGAGAATTCTGTCTGGAGCTGTTAAGAACCAAAATATTTCGCTTTTATGGTACAAGCATGAAACTTTGCAAGATTGGTAACACCTCCAGGACTAATATTTCTGGATATTGAACCAATTCTAATTTAACACTGGAGCCGAGAACTGCACACGTCACAAAATGGACGACATGAAAACAAGGCTGGTGTAAAAAACACTGCATAATCTCTTTATTGTCTAATTTGCTTAATTTTCCATTTTGAAATGTTCAACAACTATTTTTTTCTAAAGTCCAAAGCAGTAAGGAGCTCACGTGGCCACTTTCCTTGAGAATGTAAGGGTTGTATGTTTTTCTTGATATAATTATTTCAGCCTCTTTATAATATCACAATAAATATGGTACGGTGAGATTCATGTCGTGATAATATCGTACTGAGAGATTTGGATATTGTTACATCTCTACAAATAACATAAGAGTCCAAGCTCGCTGGAACACTCAGACTGATCACATGTGCCGTTTTAATGCGTTTTGTATTTTTTGGCAGTGTGTGTTAATGTGTTTCCATGGTAACTGATGAACATTCTGCCATAAAAATACACGAAGAGCACCCCAACCATCTCTAATCACAGACATGTTACTCTCGTTTAACTGTGTCTCTCTTCTTGTTTTTGCAGAGACGCGTCTTTCGGGAATTGCACCTTCAACCTGACGGTGCTGGAATGTCTGCAGGGCGTCAGGAAGGTGAGGAGAGACTTTAAACTTTCACGAGACGCTTGTAAAACGAGCCGTAAAGTTAAACTGCCTCCTCCTCCTCCACCAACGCCGCCGCCGCCGCCGCAGGGACCAGAAAATACTGAAACGACAAATATTTAAACACTCGCACCTCGCGGCAACAAGGTCCCTGGTTCAACTCTCGGGGCTGTGTGTGTGTGTGTATGTGTGTGTGTGTGTGTGTGTGTGTCTGTTTCCCTCCAAAACAACACAACAGTTCAGATCGTCCAGCTCGTGAGGGAGAAGGGAGAAGTTTTGGGTTTTTTTTAAGCGTTTACTAGAAATAATTTACAAAATCCTGGGCAGGTGGTGTTGTGTCCTGTAGAGATTTCTTGGTGTTGTTTTTGTGTTTGTTGTGTGTTTGTGTGTGTTTCTGTGTGTGTTTTTGTGTGTGTGTTTGTGTGTGTGTGTGAAACTGAAGCAGATCAGAGTTGAGTTTGGGGTCACACAGACGACTCCACTCATCACATTACATAAGAGAGAGAACAGAGAGAAAGAGAGAGAAAGAAAGACTGAACAACGAGAGAGACTAGAGAGAGAAGATAGAGAGACAGTGAAGGGGTCAGCTGAAGAGAGAGAGAGAGAGAAAGGGGCCGACTAGAGAGAGAGAGAAAGAAAGAGACTGAACAGAGAGAGAGAGAAAGAGAGGGGCTGACTAGAGAGAGAGGGAGAGAGAGAAAGAAAGAGACTGAACAGAGAGAGAGAAAGAAAGAGACTGAACAGAGAGAGAGAAAGAAAGAGACTGAACAGAGAGAGAGAGAGAGAGAAAGAAAGGGACTGAACAGAGAGAGAGAGAGAGGAAAGAGACTGAACAGAGAGAGAGAGAGAAAGAGACTGAACTGAGACAGAGAGAGAGAGGGAAAGAGACTGAACACAGAGAGAGAGGAAAGAGACTGAACAGAGAGAGAGAGAGAGAAAGAAAGAGACTGAACAGAGAGAGAGAGGGAAAGAGACTGAACAGAGAGAGAGAGGAGAAAGAGACTGAACAGAGAGAAAGAGACTGAACAGAGAGAGAGAGGGAAAGAGACTGAACAGAGAGAGAGAGGAGAAAGAGACTGAACAGAGAGAGAGAGGAAAGAGACTGAACACAGAGAGAGAGAGGGAAAGAGACTGAACAGAGAGAGAAGAGAGAGAGAGGAAAGAGACTGAACAGAGAGAGAGAGAGAGAGGGAAAGAGACTGAACAGAGAGAAAGAGAGAGAGAGAAAAGAGACTGAACAGAGAGAGAGAGGGAAAGAGACTGAACAGAGAGAGAGAGAGAGAGAGGAAAGAGACTGAACACAGAGAAAGAGGGAAAGAGACTGAACAGAGAGAGAAGAGAGAGAGGGAAAGAGACTGAACACAGAGAGAGAGGGAAAGAGACTGAACAGAGAGAGAGAGAGAGAGAGGAAAGAGACTGAACAGAGAGAGAGAGAAGGGGGGGCACACAGAGAGAGAGAGAGAGAGGGTAGAGGGAGGTTAGTGAGGGAGAAAAGAGGATGATGAGGAAAAAGCAGGAGAGATGGAGTGAGATGAAGAGAGAGAGAGAGAGAGTCACGGGGAGAGACTTTGTTTTGTTTTTTTCAGGTTGTAGAATGTGATGATGTCACACTCTCAGATGGGGTCAGAGGTCAGAGGTCAGAGGCAGGTCTGTAGATCACACTGAACTTCACAACCAGCAAAAGAAAAAGAACAGAGGAGAGAGAGAGAAACGGATGGAGAGAGAAGAAAGTGTGCAAGGAAGTGAAAAAGAGAGGAATGGAAGGAGGGAAAGAGATGCAGAGACGATGGTGAAAGAAGGAGAGGGACAAAAAAAGGAGAGAGAGAGAGACAGAGGAGAGAAGATGAACGTGTGCAAGAAAGTGAAAAAGTAAAAAATAAAGTGTGCGGAAAAGAGAAAACGTTAAAAAGAAGAGGGAGGAGAGAGGGAGGAACGAGAATGGAGAGAGAAATAGAGAGAGCAGAGGATGGAGAGAGGAGACGAGCGAAAAAAGGTTAAAAAAAAAGTATGGGGAAAATTGTGAAAAGATGGAGAGAAAGGGTTACAAAGAAAGGAGAGAGAGAGGGAGGAACAAGGATGGAGAGAGACAGAGGAAAGAAGAGAAGATGCATGTGTGCAAAAAAGTGAAAAACAAAATATAGAAGAAGAGTGAAAAAGAGAGATAGAAAAGGTTACAAAGAATAAAAGAGAGGGAGGAGGAGCGAGAGAAAGAAGAGAGGGAGAGAGACAAGAGAGAAGATGAACATGTGCAAAAAAAAGTTAAAAATAAAGTATGGAGAAAATAGAGTGAACAAGAGATATAGAAAGGGTTAGAAAGAAGAGTGGAGAGAGAGAGAAAGGGAGAAAGACAGGAGAAAAGTTGAACGTGAGCAAGAAAGTGAAACATAAAGTAAGGATAAAAGAGTGAAAAGATAGAGATAGAAACGGTTACAAAGAAGGAAGGAGAGAGAAAGAGGAGAGAATGGAGAGAATGGACAGAGGAGAGAAGATGAACGTGTGCAAAAAATTGAAAAAAAGTTAAATTATGGAAAAAGAGACAGAGAAAAAGGGTTACAAAGAAGAAAGGAGAGAAGAGAGGATGGACAGAGGGACGGAGAGGAGTGGAACATGTGTAAAAAGTGAAAAAGTTAAAAATAAAGGATGGAGGGATGACGGAGGGAGGGAGAGTTGGGAGAACAGTCCGTCTTTGTGCTCGGACACAAAAGCCGCCGCAGACGATCACAGAGCGAATCTCCTCCTCGTTTTTCCTCCTCGTTTTTCTCGTCGTTTGTGGCCGTGGCTCAGCAGGTCGAGCCGACGCCCGCGAACACACAGGTCAACAGTTAGATTGAACGTCGCCCCTGTGCCCTTGAGCAGGACGACGTGTGTGAGCGCGTGAGTGTTTGTCGTGTTTGGTGTTTTAGAGCCTGAAGGTGGAGACAGAAGAACGTGATATTAAAAAGATCCAACGTGACGGAGAATCAAGTGTCACACAGTCGTTTCCCATGATTCTCAGTGACAGTTGCTGGATTTACACTTTATTAAAGGTTGTATAGAGGATTTTCCAAGGAACGAGAAATCCAGCGACTGTTTGTCCTTTTTCAAATGTTGCGCATGTGTGAAACCACCCCCCCCTCCCCCACAGCTCCTACGTAGAAACGCCTCCTCCCTCCTCCTCCTTACGCCACAAACAGGTTTGTTTACAGCCGGTGAACTGCACATGACTTGTAAACAACTAACTACAGTGTTGGTTAGGCAAGACGGAGAAGTGAGGAGGAGGGGGAAGAGTGGATCGGGCAGCGGGGACAGGAGCAGGAAAGGGGAGCAGAGAAGGTTGCGCGGAGATTCAGTGTGAATGAACTAACTACAACACGCAGCAGCAAGTGGACTCTTTCTTTGCCTTGAAAATGACGTTTTCAGACATAGGATGTCGCTTTCGTGTCCTGAAAAACGTTTGTCTCGCTCTTGGAAATAAAGTACGTTTTCATAATAAGCAGAAGTTTCCTGTCCAGGAGTAATTTGTGGACCAGTGGTTCAGTCTTTAGACCCTTCGTCTGCTTCAGTCGCGCCATCGCTGGAATGAATCTACAAGAATCACCTTAGTTTGGCTTCGCTGCTTTTCCCCTTGTCTTCTTCTTTCAGCGACCTCAAAAACGGACTTTCTTTTGCGGCGAACTGCTCCTGGATTCTTGTCGCCATTGCAACAAACTTTGTGCGAACTGCGAGGAAGATATAGGTCAAAAAAAAGCCGCTAAGAACTGTTGAATTTGGTGGAGTAAACAGCGTCTGTGCGTCTTGCGTCTGTGGACTGTGTGACAGTCGTACGTAAACCACGTACCGGCGGCGCAGGCAAGTCAGTTACACTAGAAACGTAGGGAGTTTGATTGACAGCCTGTCAGCTCACAGATAACGAGGCAGTGTCGTTATCTATTGGCAAATGTTTAGCCCCACCACGTCCAGAGTTGATGAATTTTTATTCTCTTTTTTTTTGGTCATCATAATTACAAGGCTCCTGCATCTTTATAATCTATCACTGACAATTTGAAACAAAAAAAAAACAAAAAAATCCTCCATACAACCTTTAACACTGGATTTACACTACAGTTGTAACGTGTTGTTATTGTCACTGGTTTCCTCGTTCTCTATGTTCAGAACACAACACTAATCTGACCAGACTGCAACACTTCAAGTCAGTTTATCGACCGTGAGTGAACTGTAATGACCAAAACCTTCTGTAGGAGTGAAGCAGCTGAATTGTAAATGAGCCTGGATGATGAGATGAGCTCATGTGTTTGGGTAACGATGTGTTTGATTAATCTGTTGAACAGGTCGTTTTGTGAAGTGTCATCAATAGTTTATTGTAACTTCAGAAGTTGTTTGACTGAAACTTACAGATTTCAAGTGTTGTTTCATTCACAGCTGAGAACTCAGCTTCACCGTGTCTGATCTCCACAGCAGAGTCCTGAACGCCAAACCAGGGTCGGGTCCCGCGGGCAAATAGTTGCTGAAGTTGCGGATTTTAACGTTCTGAAATTTTATGGGCGGGTATGTTGACGAGTACTGACACGGACATTACACAGGACTACACCAGGACTAAACCAGGACTACACCAGGACTACACCAGGACTAAACCAGGACTAAACCAGGACTAAACCAGGAGACTACACCAGGACTACACAAGGACTACAACCAGGACTACACCAGGACTACACCAGGACTAAACCAGGACTAAACCAGGACTACAACCAGGACTACACCAGGACTAAACCAGGACTACATCAGGACTACAAGGACTAACCAGGACTACACAAGGACTACACCAGGACTAAACCAGGACTAACCAGGACTACACCAGGACTAAACAGGACTAAACCAGGACTACACCAGGACTACAAAACCAGGACTACACCAGGACTAAAACCAGGACTACACCAGGACTACACCAGGACTAAACCAGGACTACACAGGACTACACAGGACTACACCAGGACTACACAAGGACTACACCAGGACTAAACCAGGACTACACCAGGACTACACCAGGACTAAACCAGGACTAAACCAGGACTACACCAGGACTACACCAGGACTACACCAGGACTACACCAGGACTACACCAGGACTACACCAGGACTACTCTTGAGAGAGCGAGAACCTGGAGTCCATGTAACAGGTGGCTGCAAAGCGCAGCCTGCGGTCGCTTGATGAACTACACGGGTGCACCTCCAGACCTGTTCAGACAGTGAGTCCTGGTTCAGTCCTGGTTCAGTCCTGGTTCAGTCCTGGTTCAGTCCTGATTTAGTTCTGGTTTAGTCCTGGAATCAGTTCTGGTACAGTCTTGGGTTAGTCCTGGTTTAGTTCTGGTTTAGTCTTGGTTCAGTTAGAGCAGGCATGTCCAGACTATGGCCTGTAGGCCAAATGTGGCCCTCAGACAAATTTTTCTTGGCCCACAGTCTTCCAGATGAATTGGCCCATCAATTAAAATTAACTTTTTACTGCACGTTTTTTGAAAATCTACCTTGATAAAGATAATAATTAATATTTAGTGTGTGGTTTTAAGGATCTTAGCATGAATAAAGTCTGATTCTAACGTGTTAAACATGCACATATTTCAATAATTCACTGTACTGAGCGCCAGTCTGCGGCCTTTGATCGACCCTCTGCTTTGTCTGTGTTTAGATGTGTGGCCCTTAATAAAAGTCTGGACACCCCTGGGTTAGAGGCGTATTGAAGAAAGTGTAACCGTTTCATTTCGTGATTGTAATTCTTGAAGTCGTAACGTTTCAGTTTGTATTCTGACGGATGCTTCAGTTAGAATCCTTTTATTTTATGTGATTTTTCAGGGGCCCGGGCGGGTGCGAGTTTAACTTTAATAAAATCACTGGTTAACAGGCAGGTGCAGTGCTGCACTGCACGAGTCCGGGCGGGTGTGGGTCTACAAAAATGGACCCATGCAGGACTCTGATGCACAGCGTATGTGTCAGGCTTTTTCTCTCTGTGTGTGTATATGTGTCTGTGTGTCTGTGTTTGTGTCTGTGTGTGTGAACAGAAAACAAACCAACAGGAGGAAACACACGCAGACGTTTCTCGCATTAATAAATAAATATATCTTGTATTTGTTCAACTATGGCTCGTTTCTGCTGTAGTTTTGAGAAATAAAAACATCATTATTACTGTGACTTCTCCACAGATCTGACCTGTAACACGGCCTGGTGATGTGGCTGCTTCTCACACTTTAGGAAATTCCAGGAATTCCAGGAAAACCAATCCTCCACGGGGAAAGTGACTTGGTGCAGGTGTAAATCATGTCGTCTTTGTGTTTCCAGGCGCTGCAGCATGGATTCTTCGACTTCGAGACGTTCGAGGTGGACGAGTACGAGCACTACGAGGTACGAACATCAGCCCCGTGTGTCAGACGGAGCTTCAGTCGTTTCTGTCGAACATTAAACCTGTTTTTTTGTTGTTTTTTTAAACCTCCTGCAGCGAGTGGAAAACGGAGACCTGAACTGGATCGTCCCGGGGAAGTTCTTGGCCTTCAGCGGCCCTCACCCCAAAACCAAGGTCGAGAACGGTGAGTGACGACGCAGACAGGAGAGATACTTTTACAGAACAGACGAATAACCGCAGTTTACTTTTTAGAATAAACGCCGACACACACTGCCCGATTTTTGGCTGTGATTTGCTTCTCTAAGTTCAGGGAGGCGTGACCCGACTTTGTGTCTTCGTGTGCAATTCTGAAGCTGCTGCGCTCCTCTGTCCGATCAGAACCACCAAACATCAACGACGAGAACAGACGATAAAACAGAGCGACGGACACACAAAAATAATCATAAGACTTTATTCCTCACCTCTCGTAAAGTTGTAAATTTAAAGTGCAGCGTCTCGTCCACATTATCCAGAGAATTTATCTGCCACAAATAATGAGACCAGTTGACAAAACCACATTGTGAATTGAGTTTGAGGCAGTTTTTAAAAGTAAAAAGGTGGGAGTAGTTCCTCATGTATCCGTGTGTCATTCGTTCATTTGTTTTTCGAAATAAAACCAAAAATAAGAAAATGAAAAATATTTTCTCCATTATTTGTCTCCAAAACCAAAATAAATAAACAGATAATGATTTGTTGTTGTTTTTTTTCAGTTTTTGATTTTGTGTTTAAATGAAAAATGGAAAAAAAAACGGATAACGGACGTTTCTCGTTTATGTGACTTAAACTGCGATGACGGACTTTTGCGCTGCATACGGACTGAACCAGGTCTAAAACGATACTAAACCAGGACTAAACCGTTTTCAGTCCTGGTCTGGTCCCCGTCTCAGTCCCCATCTCGGTCCTGGTCCTGGTCTCGTTCCCGGTCTCAGTCCTGGTCCTGGTCCTGGTCCCGGTCCGGTCCTCGGTCCCGGTCCTGGTCCTGGTCCTGGTCCTGGTCTCGGTCCCGGTCTCAGTCCCCATCTCAGTCCAGGTCCTGGTCCTGGTCTCAGTCCCCGTCCTGTTCCCGGTCTCAGTCCCAGTCCCAGTCTCAGTTCTTGTCTGGTCCCGGTCTCAGTCCTGGTCTTAGGCCCTGGCCTCAGTTCTGGACTTGTCCCGGTCTCAGTTCTGGACTTGTCCTGGTCTCAGTTCTGGACTTGTTCCGGTCTCAGTCCCGGTCTCAGTCCAGTTCTGGTTCTGTTCTGGTTTAGACCTGGTTTAGTCCGGCATCGCAGTTTAAGTCACGTAAAAGGGAAACGGTTCTTATCCTTTTTTTCCATTTTTCATTTAAACACAAAAGGAAAACAAAACCAAAAAAAACCAAAACAAACAAAAAAATGAATCATTATCTTTTTTTTCATTTTGGTTTTGGAGACAAATAATGAAGAAAATAGTTGTTGTTGTTTTTTTTCTTATTTTTGGTTTTATTTTGAAAAACAAATAACAAACAGATTGTTTTACCTTGTATTTTTTCATGTTTGTGATCGTGGTTGTTTTAAATCGTTCTTGCGCCCCCTGTAGGTTACCCGCTGCACGCGCCCGAGGCATATTTCCCGTATTTCCGTAAACACAACGTGACGACGGTGATCCGACTGAACAGGAAGATCTACGAGGCGCAGAGGTTCGTCAGCGCCGGATTCGACCACTTCGACCTGTTCTTCGTGGACGGCAGCACCCCGAGCGACGCCATCATGAGGAGGTTCCTCTCCATCTGCGAGGCCACGGACGGAGCCGTCGCCGTGCACTGTAAAGGTGAGAACAGAACACCACCGGGACTGGACTAAACTGGGACTGAACCGGGACTGAACCAGGACTGAACCAGGGCTGAACCAGGACTGAACCAGGGCAAAACTAGGACTAAACTGGGACTGAACCAGGACTGAACCGGGACTAAAACAGGGCTGAACCAGGACTGAACCAGGACTGAACCAGGACTGAACCAGGGCAAAACTAGGACTAAACTACAGCTAAATTGGGGCTAAACTAGAGCTGAACTGGGACTGAACCAGAGACTAAATCAGGACTAAAATAGGACTGAACCAGGGCTGAACTGGGACTGAACCAGAGACTAAACTGGGACTGAACTGGGACTGAACTGGGACTGAACCAGAGACTGAACTGGGACTGAACTGGGACTGAACTGGGACTGAACTGGGACTGAACCAGAGACTGAACTGGGACTGAACTGGGACTGAACTGGGACTGAACTGGGACTGAACCAGGACTAAACCAGGACTGAACCAGACTCCATCATGAGGAGGTTTTTCAGCATTTGTGTATCTGTGCACGGTAAAGGTGAAAGAAAACAGGACTAAAACTAGACTAAACCGGGTGTAAATCAAGGTGTAAATCAGGACTAGTTCCGGACTAGAGCTGGACTAAACCAGGTTCTAAACCAGGGTCTAAACAAGGAGAATTGTTGTAGTTTTGTAAACTTTTGGATTTGGGATTTTGTGCAGCTTCGGAGCCTTTGTTTGACTCTGATCGACTCGTTTAAGGTTATTTGGAATTACAAAATAAACATATTTTATAATTTGACCTCATGTCTGGACTAAAGCTGCACTGATTTTTTTTCATTTTTTTCTGACATTTTTTGTTCAGCAGCTTCACTTTTTCATTTAGTCAGAACATAAACTCTTCCCTGTCTGAGCAGCTCGTCACAACAATGATATTTACCGTTTAGTTTTTTAAAAATAAAGAAGTACAATTTATATTCAGCAGAATTGCGTTAAGCATTTTGGCCCGACCCTCCGCCATATTTTCTGCTTCTCATGTGGCCCCATGGAAAAAATAATTGCCCACCCCAGGTCCATGTGGAGAATAATGTAGTTATGTTTCAGTCCAGCAGAGGGCAGTGCAGGGCAGAAATTCAGGGACCAGAATGTGTTAAAGCTGCTGTGTCAGTGAACCAACGCCAGGTCAGAACCGGCTCTGCTGATTGACTCTTGATAAAATGGGACTGAAAACTGGTTCTTTACCAGTTGGAGCTGGACCAGGACTGTTCTGGTGTAATACTAAGTCTGTCTCTGATGAAATACAGCAAAAACTAGGGATTAATGTAGAGGAAAACACAAACAAATGAAAGACTAACTGCTGTTTAAACAATCTGAACGAGCCCAAAACCTGCACGTGAGGACAGAATGTGACAAATAAACCAGAACCCAACCACAGATGGAACTCCTCTGTCCAAACCCCATACCCGTCTGTGTGTGGACCAAAACCCGTCTGCACATTTGAACCTGATTGGCTGTTACCTGGTGTGTCTGTGCTGATTGGCTCTTATCCGGTGTGTCTGTGCTCTGATTGGCTGTTACCTGATGTGTCTGTGCTCTGATTGGCTGTTCCCTAACATGTCTGTGCTCTGATTGGCTGGTCCCTGGTGTGTCTGTGCTCTGATTGACTGTTACCTGACATGTCTGTGCTCTGATTGGCCATTATCTGGTGTGTCTGTGCTCTGATTGGCTGTTACCTGGTGTGTTTTGCGCTCTGACTGGCTGTTCCCTAACATGTCTGTACTCTGATTGGCCATTATCTGGTGTGTCTGTGCTGATTGGCTGTTACCTGACGTGTCTTTGCTCTGATTGGCTGTTACCTGGTGTGTCTGTGCTCTGATTGGCTGTTCCCTAACATGTCTGTGCTCTGATTGGCTGGTCCCTGGTGTGTCTGTGCTGTGATTGACTGTTACCTGACATGTCTGTGCTCTGATTGGCCATTATCTGGTGTGTCTGTGCTCTGATTGGCTGTTACCTGACGTGTCTGTGCTCTGATTGGCTGTTACCTGGTGTGTCTGTACTCTGATTGGCTGTTTCCTAACATACCTGTGCTCTGATTGGCTGTGTCTCTCTGTTCTTCGTGGTTTGTAGCGGGCCTGGGCAGGACGGGCACTCTGATTGGCTGTTACCTGATGAAGCATTACCGGTTCACGGCGGGAGAGGCCATCGCCTGGATCCGGATCTGCAGACCAGGATCCATCATCGGACCTCAGCAGAACTACCTGGAGGAGTGAGTACACCAGGGTTTTCATTAAATCTGAAGTAAGAGTTTGGTTTATTCTGATTTTAAAGCCGACTGAATTTCTTCCTGGATCATGTTTCTCATTTATTTTTGTTAAAATAATTCTGGTGCTTCATGTTCGTCGTGTCGTTGTGTCGTCCTTCGATCCGGCTCCTCCAGTCGTGTCTTGGGACTTTGATCCACGTCTCTTTGGGTTTGTGAGCGGGATGTGGGAGTGGGCTGAGGTTTTGTCTTCTTCCTCTCTTCTCCGACGCTCTTCCCTTCTCCTCCTCAGCTCACAGACGGAAAGTGTGATGAGACGATTCTCCAGCTGCTCCTTCACAATTATCAAAAAGTTTATCGAAATGTTTGGATGGTTTTTGTGTCCGTGGAGAAACGACAAACCCAGACGACAGAAAACTCGGGAGCAGAGGAAGTTTGTGTTTTCTTCTCAAAGACGTAAATCTGTTGGCGTCTCTGTCCAATCAGAACCTTCCCCAGATGCTCAGACACATTAAATAAAAAACATTTCACCAGTTTAACACCAAACAACAATTCAACATTATTATTTCCTTGTAAATTCAAAGGAGAATATTTTAATTCCCAACAATTTAATTCAGAAAAATTAATTCAGAATTATAAACATCATGTAAACGTGGCCTGTGTGACTTTGGTGAAAACACTGTGTGGTTTACTCCAGGCTTTAGATGCAACGTCCATCCGTCCATTTTCTTCTTCTTATCTGGGGTCGGGTCTCGGGGGCATCAGTCTAAGCAGAGACTCCAAGACTTCCTTCAGCCCAGACACTTCCTCCAGCTCCTCCAGAGGAACCCCGAGGCCAGTCCAGAGACATCGTCCCTCCAGTGTGTCCTGGGTCTTCCACGGGGCCTCCTCCCAATGAGACATGAACACCTCCTGAGGGAGACGTCCAGGAGACATCAGAAACAGATGTCCTCCTCTCAACTGGCTCCTCTTGACGTGGAGGAGCAGCGGCTCTACTCCGAGCTCCTCACTCTATCTCTAAGTCTATGTTCAGACTGCAGCCCGAAGTGACCAAATCCGATTTTTTGTCTCTATGTTCCTGTATCTGATTTATTTAATGACAGTCTGAACGACACAGATCAGATTTTTTCAAACGTGACCCAGGACACTTGGATCTGTGCTCCTGAAACTGATCCATATCTGATCTTTTACATGTGACTTCAGTGTGAACGGTCAGGTCACATTCATCCACCTACACGTCATCAACAAGACACAAACGTCACTATTCTGCGCTGAAGCAGGAGAAAATTGTTAATGCACTCTGTGTGACTGAAGTGAAGCACATCTCCACTCACCACAAAACACCACCACCAAAAACCTGCTCCTTCTCCTTCTCAATCTCCTCCTTAAAACAAGTCAGTTGTTCATGTTGTGGCTCCGGTACGAGAGGAACTTTAAAATCTCCAGGTGCTCGATGCTGCGTCCATGTTTGTACAACTTGTGTAAACACAGAGACGCTCGCTGCGGTTGACGTCGTCGTGTCTCCAGTGTCACATGTGGGACACTTTTGGACCGTTTAATGTTCACACTGGAGTCACATACAAGTCACATTTAACTGGAAATGTGAACGACCTCGAAAAAACATCAGATTTCACAAAAAAAGCGTTAATCCCTGCAGTCTGAACGTAGACTAAGGGAGCCCAGACACCCTGTGGAGGAAACTCATTTCGAGCGCTTGTATCCGCGATCTTGTCCTTTCGGTCACTACCCAGAGCTCATGACCAGAGCTCATGACCAGAGTGAGGGGAGGAACGAAGACTGACCGGTAAATCGAGAGCTTCGCCTTTCGACTCAGCTCCTCTTCACCACAACGGTCCGATACAGCGACCGCATCACTGCCCACGCTGCACCTGTCCACCTGTCAATCTCACGCTGCACCTGTCCACCTGTCAATCTCACGCTCCGTCCTCCCCTCACTCGAGAACAAGACTCCGACATACTTGAACTCCACTTGGGGCAGAGACTCTCCACCCGCCCGGAGACGACAAGACGCCTTTTTCCGGTCGAGAACCAACGACCTCGGATTTGGCGGAGCTGATCTTCATCCCAGACGCTTCACACTCGAGTCAAACGGCCCCAGAGCTGCAGGTCCTGGTCTGATGAAGACAACAGGACAACAGCATCTACAAACGGCAGAGATGATCCTGTGCTCCCCAACCTGATGCAACATTAAATTATTTTTTTATTAGTTTTATTCTTGTATTAACATTATTTGGCCAATTCCACTTGATAACGCAAAGAAGAACCAATCATTTTCTGTTCAAATCCTTTAAAGATCTGTTCTCAATTAAATAGTTTAGTTTAATTCCTTTTTCATTTTGGTTTATTGAGTTTATTGCTCTGAAAAACCTGCACCTTGACTGTGATCGGGCTCGCATCTCCACAAACCTGACTCTTATTTGGCCTGAAAGAGTGTTAGCGGGGTTTCTCCTGCTTGTTTCCATGGAAATGTTGGCCGTAATATTCCAGAGTGTGGCTTTAAACGTGTTTATCTCCGAGGGAAATGTTCCGAATGATGGTTCTAACATTTTAGAAAGGTTTCAGTGTTGTTTTAAATTTAAAGCCAAATTGTGTAACATTTCAGATGGTGCCCCCTCCCCCTTTAACCCGGTGCCCCCCTCCCCCTTTAACCCGGTGCCCCCTCCCCTTTAACCCGGTGCCCCCCTCCCCTTTTAGCCCGGTGCCCCCCTCCCCCTTTAGCCCGGTGCCCCCCTCCCCCTTTTAGCCCGGTGCCCCCCTCCCCCTTTAGCCCGGTGCCCCCCCCCCCTTTAGCCCGGTGCCCCCTCCCCCTTTAGCCCGGTGCCCCCTCCCCCTTTAGCCCGGTGCCCCCCTCCCCCTTTAGCCCGGTGCTGTATCTGTGCCTCTTGATCTGCAGCTCAGTCCGGGGTTTTTTGTGCCTGGTTTAACTCGTAAACGACGTGTTTCCTCAGTTTCCATCAGAGGCACAAAATCCTGAAGACTTTGCACTTTTTGCATTAACCCCGAGTCCAGTTCGTTGTTTGTCCAGGCCCCAAAACCAGAACCACAAACCCAGTCACTACAGGGACACGAACTCTTATAGCGCTGCAATTTTGTTGCTTGTTCAGAGGAAGGAAACTCTTTTATGTGACACATTTGACATTTTTCATTGTTTTTATGATTAAAATGTGTGTGTTTCATATGAACTTTGCACAAAAAGTCGGGCTGGGTGTCATTAAGAAGTTGGCGATACGATACATACCTCGATACAGTGAGCTTTTGATTTGATACGATACATTTCAAAACTATTTGATACGATAAGAAAAAAAAAAGACTAAATGATGGCTGTGAAACTAAAGTCTTTTTGTGCGAAGTGAATATGAAACACACACATTTTAATCATAAAAACAATGAAAAATGTCAAATGTGTCGCATAAAAGAGTTTCCTTCCTCTGAACAAGCAACAAAATAATTTAGTAAAATATACCAAAAAACACTCTTGGTGATATATCGATACAGCAGCCCACAATATCGATACTGTATCATTACATTGAACAATTTGAACAATATGATATATCGATATTTCAATATTTTTGCACACCCTTAACAAAAAGACTTTTAGTTTCACAGCCATTTTTTTGTCTTTTTTTTATTTTTTTTTTTTTATATCGTATCAAATTGTTTTGAAATGTATCGTATCAAATCAAAAGCTCTCTGTATCGAGATATGTATCGTATCGTGACCTATGTATCGTATCGCCAACTTCTTAATGATACCCAGCCCTGATGCCCTCCCCCTGTGCCTCAGATGCCCTCCCTCCCTCACAGCTCTGTGTCTGTGTCTCTGTCCACAGGAAGCAGGCGTCTCTGTGGCTCATGGGGGACACTCTGCGCTCTCAGAAGTCCAAGACGGAGGACAGGGGCGTGTCTCACCTCATCTCCAGTCTGGACGACTTAAACCTGAACCCGACGAACGCCCAACACAACGCCAACCTGAACAAGAGCCTGGGCCCGGACAGGATCCTGGAGGTAAGAGACAAGAAATTATACTTCACCAAAACAGTCAGGAGCAAGAATTAGACGTTGCCATTTCTCCAAGCACCAGTCATTACACCACACCCAAACTCTGGGGCCGTGGAGGACTGTGGACGTGACACTTTTATATTTGTGTTTGAGTTTTCAGCCTCAGACGCCGTTTTTCTTTCACTTCAGTCACACTCTGCAGCCACTGGGGCACTTTTCCCGACGTGCCTGCTGTAAAATCTGCCCCTCGCTGAAAACGACTCTTACAGATTTACACAAGAAACTGTCAAAGTAAAGCTAAAGCTCTGACCCCTGACCCTTGAACCTTGACCTCTGACCCCGGCCTCAGAACTCGCTCAGTCCCGCAGGTTTTTATTTCTGTTCCTCCAGATTTTTTATTACTTAATTTTCTGTTTTGTTTTGACTTGTACAAATTCATTAAGGTCTTAAAACGTCTTAAATTCTGTTGTCCAAGTTTAATTTTTTTCACAAAGGTCTTAAATTTCATTTGCCTATGTATTTATTTATTTATTTTTTTTTGTAAACTCAGCCGGGCTGCAGTGCGACGTTAAACGGAGGAGAAAAAAACAAAAACAACAACGTGAAATCATGTAACGTGAATGAACATCTTATTTGGAGTCTGTGCAAACACAATACTTTGGTTTGTGGCGCGACTGCAGTGATTAAAACGATCAGTAGAGTGGAGGAAGACGCTGGATGGATCGTGGGGGAAGTGTCGGTTTAATCCAGTGATTCTTAGATTCTAGATGCAGTAGTTGGTTGGTGATTATTCAAATTGGATCTGGTGTTTTTCGCTCGCATAATGGGTGCGATGTTGGTCTTAATTTTCATTTAAGTGCTCTTAAAAAGCTCTTAAAAAAGTCTTAAAAAAGTCTTAAATTCCGATCGAGAGTCCACCAGCTGCTTGTCTCCATGGAGATTTGGTTAGAATGTTCCACAGCATTACAGTTTTTTACAGCATGTAACTTCTGGTCTGGTTGTGTCACCTGATCGTCTCCATTGAGATTGAAATGTTTCATGCAGAACTTTGGGACATTCTAGGCCAGGGGTCTCAAACCTTTTTCCTCCAGTGAGCTCCTTTACGAAACAACAATGCCAGAGCTACTCATTTTAGCAGCTGCAAAAAACTGAGATGATTATAAGAAAGAGGATGAGCCTTTGGATGCCGTTAGACGCCTATAAAACATAAACCATTGTCCATTTATTAGTGCACAAAGTTGAGATTCAAAGCAGAGTCCTGCACTGGGTCGGGTACCTGCAGGTACGGGCAAGTAGTTGCTGAAATGGGCGGATTTAATGTTCTGGAATTATGCGGGCAGTTATGCGGGCGGGTACTGATTACACATGGGCAAGTCAGGACTAAACCGGGACTAATCTTAGACTTCGGTCGGTCAGTTTAATCCAGTGTCTCTTAGATTCTAGATGCAGTAGTTGGTTGGTGATTATTCGAATTGGATCTGGTGTTTTTCGCTCGCATAATGGGTGCGATGTTGTTCTTAGTTTTCATTTAAGTGCTCTTAAAAAAGTCTTAAATTTGAGGTGGTCAAACCTGCGGTTACCCTGGTTTGTGATGAGGAAACTGCATCAGAACATAGTGTGACATGGGTCCTTTAATAAAAAATAATAATAAAATAGTGTTGTTTTTTTAGTGTTGTTGACTCTGTTCTTTTGTTTCCTCAGAGTGACGTGGAGAGTGCACTGACACAGGGCGACAAACTGAGGGCGCTCAAGGGCAGACGGCCTCCTCGCCCGGCCACCGCAGGAGCGCTCAGGTAACTCCACCTGTCTCCTGTCTCTGTGTCTCTGTGTCTCTATCTCAGTTATTTTGACTCACACGAAGACCCCCGTGTGACCCCTCACTCCAGTTCACTCTTTCTTTACATTTACCCTTCTGCGTTTTTGGCCCCTACAAAAAACCACAAAAGAATAAAATGAAAATCTCATTTATTAAAAACACACACAGGGCTTTGGACCAGGCCGCTCACTTCTACGTTTATTTGTCTTTTCTGAACATTTTTTATTCTTATCGGTCCACACGTTAAAACACGACACCCTGAACTGTTTTCTTTAACAGTTTAGTTGATGTTTCTTGGTTTATTTACTTATTTTACTCTTGTTTGCTCTGACTCTTTTTCTGCTTTGTGATTGGCTGTGGTCTGTGTGGATCGGGCTCTGTGATTGGCTGTGGTCTGTGTGGATCGGGCTCTGTGATTGGCTGTTGTCTGTGTGTGTGTGTGGGGCTCTGTGATTGGTTGCAGCGTCGGTGGGCGGGGCTCTGTTCAGCAGCCTGTTGTGTGTTTCAGGGTGGAGGAGATGAAGGTGCACAGCCGGAGCTCGTCTCAGCCGCTCAGGTACGACCGAGGTGTATGTGCGTCTGCTCGTGTGCGTCTGCTCGTGTGCGTCTGCTCGTGTGCGTCTGCTCGTGTGCGTCTGCTCGTGCGTCTGCTTTTGTATCTGCTTTTGTATCTGCTCGTGCGTCTGCTTTTGTTTCTGCTTTTGCGTCTGCTCGTGCAACTGTTTGTGCGTCTGCTTTTGTGTCTGCTTTTGAGTCTGCTCGTGTGTCTGTTTGTGCGTCTGATCTTGTGTCTTGTGCGTCTGCTCTTGTGTGATCTTGTGTCTTGTGCGTCTGCTCTTGTGTGATCTTGTGTCTTGTGTGTCTGCTCTTGTGTGTCGTGCGTCTGCTCTTGTGTGATCTTGTGTGTGCGTCTGCTCTTGTGTGTCTTCTGCTGTGTGATCTTGTGTGTCGTGCGTCTGCTCTTGTGTGATCTTGTGTCTTGTGCGTCTGCTCTTGTGTGATCTTGTGTGTCGTGCGTCTGCTCTTGTGTGATCTTGTGTGTCGTGCGTCTGCTCTTGTGTGATCTTGTGTCTTGTGCGTCTGCTCTTGTGTGATCTTGTGTGTCGTGCGTCTGCTCTTGTGTGATCTTGTGTCTTGTGCGTCTGCTCTTGTGTGATCTTGTGTCTTGTGCGTCTGCTCTTGTGTGATCTTGTGTGTCGTGCGTCTGCTCTTGTGTGATCTTGTGTGTCTTGTGTGTGTGCGTCTGCTCTTGTGTGATCTTGTGTCTTGTGCGTCTGCTCTTTGTGTGATCTTGTGTCTTGTGCGTCTGCTCTTGTGTGATCTTGTGTGTCGTGTGTGATCTTGTGTCTTGTGCTGCTTGTGTGCTCTTGTGTGATCTTGTGTCTGCTGCTCTTGTGTCTTGTGTGTCTGTGCGTCTGCTCTTGTGTGATCTTGTGTGTCGTGCGTCTGCTTTTGTGTGATCTTGTGTCTTGTGTGTGCGTCTGCTCTTGTGTGATCTTGTGTGTCGTGCGTGTCTGCTCTTGTGTGATCTTGTGTCTTGTGCGTCTGCTCTTGTGTGATCTTGTGTCTTGTGCGTCTGCTCTTGTGTGATCTTGTGTGTCGTGCGTCTGCTCTTGTGTGATCTTGTGTCTTGTGCGTCTGCTCTTGTGTGATCTTGTGTGTCGTGCGTCTGCTCTTGTGTGATCTTGTGTGTCGTGCGTCTGCTCTTGTGTGATCTTGTGTCTTGTGCGTCTGCTCTTGTGTGATCTTGTCTTGTGCGTCTGCTCTTGTGTGATCTTGTGTCTGTGCGTCTGCTCTTGTGTGATGTGTCTTGTGCGTCTGCTCTGTGTGATCTTGTGTGTCGTGCGTCTGCTCTTGTGTGATCTTGTGTCTTGTGCGTCTGCTCTTGTGTGTCGTGCGTCTGCTCTTGTGTGATCTTGTGTGTCTTGTGCGTCTGTCTGTGTCTGTGCGTCTGCTCTTGTGTGATCTTGTGTGTCGTGCGTCTGCTCTTGTGTGATCTTGTGTGTCGTGCGTCTGCTCTTGTGTGTTGTGCGTCTGCTCTTGTGTGATCTTGTGTCGTGCGTCTGCTCTTGTGTGATCTTGTGTGTCGTGCGTCTGCTCTTGTGTGATCTTGTGTGTCGTGCGTCTGCTCTTGTGTGTCGTGCGTCTGCTCTTGTGTGCTGTCTGTCTGTCTTGTGTGATCTTGTGTGTCGTGCGTCTGCTCTTGTGTGATCTTGTGTGTCGTGCGTCTGCTCTTGTGTGATCTTGTCTGTCTTGTGCGTTCTGCTCTTGTGTCTTGTGTCTGCGTCTGCTCTTGTGTGATCTTGTGTGTCGTGCGTCTGCTCTTGTGTGATCTTGTGTGTGCGTCTGCTCTTGTGTGATCTTGTGTGTCGTGCGTCTGCTCTTGTGTGATCTTGTGTGTCGTGCGTGCTTGTGTGTCTCTTGTGTGCTCTGATCTTGTGTGTCGTGCGTGCTCTTGTGTGATCTTGTGTGTCGTGCGTCTGCTCTTGTGTGATCTTGTGTGTCGTGCGTCTGCTCTTGTGTGATCTTGTGTGTCGTGCGTCTGCTCTTGTGTGATCTTGTGTGTCTTGTGCGTCTGCTCTTGTGTGATCTTGTGTGTCGTGCGTCTGCTCTTGTGTGATCTTGTGTGTCGTGCGTCTGCTCTTGTGTGTGATCTTGTGTGTCGTGCGTCTGCTCTTGTGTGATCTTGTGTGTCGTGCGTCTGCTCTTGTGTGTCGTGCGTCTGCTCTTGTGTGATCTTGTGTGTCGTGCGTCTGCTCTTGTGTGATCTTGTGTGTCGTGCGTCTGCTCTTGTGTGATCTTCTCTCGTGTGCGCAGGTTGTCTTCGGGGATGGGTCAGGGCCCGGCGTCTCCGCTCAAAGCCACAAAGTTCCCGTCGTCGTCTGCGTCCGCGGCGGCCAAGCGCATCGGCAGGAGCTCGTCCGGAGCCGCGTCACACCTGCGCAGGTATCACCACTTCCTGTTTACCTCCTCCGTACTTCCCGTTTACGCCTCTGACCTTTGACCTGACGGAGCTTTTCTCTCCCTCTCTCTGTCTTCAGTTTCATTCGTTTTATGTCTGTTTTTTGTTTATAGTGTCGAGAGTTCCTGAATCTCGCAAATGTAAACTTTTATTCTTAATAATTTTAGTTTTATTTATCACAGTGTGGCCCATGTGATAAGAAATATAGTTTAGGCTCATGTGGAAAGAGTTATAATCCATTTTTAAGTAACTATAAAGCTGCACACTGTAGGTCCACCATCTGCTTGTCTCCATGGAGATTTGGTTAGAAGGAATAAACTCGATACTCGATACTGATTCTGATCCCACGATGAGAAAAAAACCCTCTTTCTTTAGACAATCTCCTGTGATTCTCCACTTTAAACGGTAGAAATTTGTTTTCTATTCCCACGTGTCCTGATATCTGTGTGATCCCTGAGTGGCCCAGGTCTAAACCAGGACTAAACTAGGTCTAAACCAGGACTAAACTAGCTCTAAACCAGGATTAAACTAGGACTAAACCAGGACTAAACTAGCTCTAAACCAGGACTAAAGTAGCTCTAAACCAGGACTAAACTAGCTCTAAACTAGGACTAAACCAGGACTAAACTAGGTCTAAACCAGGACTAAACTAGGTCTAAACTAGCTCTAAACCAGGACTAAACTAGCTCTAAACCAGGACTAAACTAGCTCTAAACTAGGACTAAACCAGGACTAAACTAGGTCTAAACCAGGACTAAACTAGGTCTAAACCAGGACTAAACTAGGTCTAAACCAGGACTAAACTAGGTCTAAACTAGGACTAAACTAGGTCTAAACCAGGACTAAACTAGGTCTAAACCAGGTCTAAACTAGGACTAAACCAGGTCTAAACTAGGTCTAAACTAGGACTAAAACTAGGTCTAAACTAGGACTAAACTAGGTCTAAACCAGGACTAAACTAGGACTAAACTAGGTCTACACCAGGACTAAACTAGGTCTACACCAGGACTAAACAAGTACTAAACTAGCTCTAAACCAGGTCTAAACCAGGTCTAAACCAGGACTAAACTAGGTCTAAACCAGGACTAAACCAGGTCTAAACTAGGACTAAACCAGGTCTAAACCAGGACTAAACTAGGTCTAAACCAGGACTAAACTAGGTCTAAACTAGGACTAAACCAGGTCTAAACCAGGACTAAACCAGGACTAAACTAGGTCTAAACCAGGACTAAACTAGGTCTAAACTAGGACTAAACAGGACTAAACCAGGACTAAACTAGGTCTAAACCAGGACTAAACTAGGTCTAAACTAGGACTAAACCAGGTCTAAACCAGGACTAAACTAGGTCTAAACTAGGTCTGAACCAGGACTAAACAAGACTAAACTAGGTCTAAACTAGGTCTAAACCAGAACTAAACAAGGACTAAACTAGGTCTATCCCAGGACTAAACTAGGTCTACACCAGGACTAAACAAGGACTAAACTAGGTCTAAACCAGTTTTAATCCAGGTCCATGTGTGTATTCTAGTCTCTGTGTCTTATTCTTGTTCTGATCCAGTTCCAGATCGTTCTAATCACATTCAGGAAAGGTTCTGCTCTGTCCTGAAAACGGGATTTTTTTTAGTATCAAAACCTGCGAAAACTTAGGTTCTAGTTTCGATATTAGTTTTAGAATCTGATTTTTGACGACCCTGGGACACTACTGTGAGACAAATTAGTCAGAAAACGATAAAAAGCGTCTGTTATAGTAACTTAAATGTCTTTTTTTAGTTAATTTTCTGTCTTCAGTTTGTTTTTTTGTTGGTTTTTTTTTGTTCTTAAATTGTTCGTCTGTGTCTGTTGTGACTCCGCCCCTCCCCGCCTCTGTAGCTCCGCCCTCAGCTCGCGATTGGCCAGTTCCCTGAGCGACCTGTACGCATCGCTCCCCGCCTCCGCCTCCTCCTCCCTTAGCTCCGCCCCCGCGCCCCGTCTCTATGGAAACCGTCCCGAGGTCAACAACAACAACAGCAGCGGCGTTGGCGGGCCGGGAAGCGGAGGGGGCGGGGCTCTGTACATGGGTCCCGCCTCGTCAGCCGCTGTTGCCACGACGACGGCGGCGGCGGCAGCGGGGAAGAGCCGGGAGTGGGCGGGGCCTTACCGAGCGCCTGGCGGGTACAGCGGGCTCAAGAGCGGGCGCTACCTGAGCCGATCCATCCCCGTAAGTCCTCACGCCAGCAGCAGCAGCTCTGATTGGACCGTTTGAATCTGTCCTCTCACGCCTCTGTGCTCTGATTGGACCGTTTGAATCTGTCCTCTCATGCCTCTGTGCTCTGATTGGACCGTTTGAATCTGTCCTCTCACCTCTCTGTGCTCTGATTGGACCGTTTGAATCTGTCCTCTCACGCCTCTGTGCTCTGATTGGACCGTTTGAATCTGTCCTCTCACCTCTCTGTGCTCTGATTGGACCGTTTTCACAACCATCGGAAATGCCGCGATGTCGAGTAAACGTCACGTCTGGTTAATGTTTTTGTGTGTCTAAGTGTGTGTCTAAGTGTGTATGTAAGTGTGTGTGTGTAAGTGTGTAAATGTGTGTGTAAAAATGTGTGTGTGTGTGTGTAAATGTGTGTGTAAATGTGTGTGTGTGTGTGTGTGTAAATGTGTGTGTAAGTGTGTGTAAATGTGTGTGTGTGTGTGTAAGTGTGTGTGTGTAAGTGTGTGTGTGTGTGTAAATGTGTGTGTGTAAATGTGTGTGTAAGTGTGTGTGTGTAAATGTAAGTGTGTGTGTGTGTAAATGTGTGTGTAAATGTGTGTGTAAATGTGTGTGTGTAAGTGTGTGTGTATGTAAGTGTGTGTGTGTAAATGTGTGTGTGTAAATGTGTGTGTAAGTGTGTGTGTGTGTAAATGTGTGTGTGTGTGTGTAAAAATGTGTGTGTAAATGTGTGTGTGTGTAAGTGTGTGTGTGTGTGTGTAAATGTGTGTGTGTGTAAATGTGTGTGTGTGTGTAAGTGTGTGTGTGTAAATGTGTGTGTGTGTGTAAGTGTGTGTGTGTAAATGTGTGTGTAAATGTGTGTGTAAGTGTGTGTCGTATTCTCCAGCAGCTTCATAAATCTGCCTCATCACCAAATCTTCAACCAACAAACTCCACAAAGGAGAAACATTCTTCATGAACAATTTATCCACAAAGATCAAGAGAAGAAAGAACAAAACTTAAAGGAAACAACGACGACGTAATTGATGCATCAGACTTTCAGACGTAATTCACACTGGGAAGGATTTTCTGAACAAGTGAGCCTCAAACCTCCATGTTTGTTTTCCCAGTGGGACGTGTCTATTGTCAAAGTCGATCTTTTCTAGTCTTTTGAACCATTTCACTTTTGTTTCTGGTTCTGATATTGTCATATTTTAGTTTTGGGATTCGGACGTCGTTAATTGTTGTGGTTGTTGGATCCAAACAGCGGAAAACGACTCGAGAAATTTGTTTGTGAACTCCATAAATGCAAAAGTGAATCAGATGTGTTAGTCTTAGTTTAGTTCTGGTTTTGTCGTGTTTTAGACCACGTTTAGTCCTGGTTTGGTTCTGGTTTAGTCCTATTTTAGTCCTGATTTAGTCCTGGTTTAGTTCTGGTTTAGTCCTATTTTAGTCCTGATTTGGTCCTGGTTTAGACCACGTTTACTCCTGGTGTATGCCAGATCTAGTCCTAGTTTAGTATAGTCCTGGCTTAGTCCTTTGTAGTCTTGTTTGGTCTTGGTTTAATCCTGCTTTACACCACGTTTACTCCTGGTCTAGTCCTGGTTTAGTCCAAGTTTAATCATTGGTGTAGTTCTGGTTTAGTCCTGGTTTAATACCCGGTCTACTCCTGGTTTAGTCCTGTTTTAGTCCCACTATAGACCTTGGTTTAGTTCTGGTTTAGTTCTGGTTTAGTCCTGGTTCAGTTCAGTTTTAGTTTTGTTTTTCATCAAACCTCCGTGTTTGTTTTCCCAGTGGGACGTGTCTGTTGTCAAAGTCGATCTTTTCAAGTCTTTTGAACCATATCACTTTTGTTTCTGGTTCTGATCTTGTCATATTTTAGTTTTGGGATTCGGACGTCGTAATCACTTTATCGGAAAATCCTTCCCAGTGAATTGTGCAATGAATGAAAGTCCCAAATTCTTGATGCATCTACTGACTAGGGCTGGTATCATTAAATAGTTGCCGATATGAAACGTACGGATACGGTGAGCTTTCGATTTGATACGATATATTTCAAATCAGTTTGATACGGTTCAATAAAAATAAAGTCTAAATCATGTCTGTGATACTAAAAAAAGTCTTTGTTAAACCACTTCTTGTGCAAAGTTCATATGAAACACAAACATTTTAATCATCAAAATTTATGAAGCTGCTGGAGAATATGACACACACATTTACACACACACATTTACACACACATTTACACACACACATTTACACACACACATTTACACACACACATTTACACACACACATTTACACACACATTTACACACACATTTACACACACACATTTACACACACACATTTACACACACACATTTACACACACATTTACACACACATTTACACACACACATTTACACACACACACACATTTACACACACATTTACACACACATTTACACACACATTTACACACATTTACACACACACATTTACACACACATTTACACACACATTTACACACACACATTTACACACACACATTTACACACACATTTACACATTTACACACACATTTACACACACACATTTACACACACACACATTTACACACACACATTTACACACACACACACACACATTTACACACACACACACATTTACACACACATTTACACATTTACACACACATTTACACACACATTTACACACACATTTACACACATTTACACACACACACATTTACACACACTTTACACACACATTTACACATTTACACACATTTACACACACATTTACACACACACACATTTACACACACATTTACACACACATTTACACACACACATTTACACACACATTTACACATTTACACACACACATTTACACACACACATTTACACACACACATTTACACACACATTTACACACACACACACACATTTACACACACACATTTACACACACACATTTACACACATTTACACACACATTTACACACACATTTACACACACACATTTACACACACACATTTACACACACACATTTACACACACACATTTACACACACACATTTACACACACACACATTTACACACACATTTACACACACATTTACACACACACATTTACACACACATTACACATTTACACACACACATTTACACACACACATTTACACACATTTACACACACATTTACACACACATTTACACACATTTACACACACATTTACACACACATTTACACACACACATTTACACACATTTACACACACATTTACACACACATTTACACACACATTTACACACACACACACATTTACACACACATTTACACACACACATTTACACACACACATTTACACACACACACACATTTACACACACACACATTTACACACACATTTACACACACACACATTTACACACACACATTTACACACACATTTACACATTTACACACACATTTACACACACACACACACATTTACACACACACATTTACACACACATTTACACACACATTTACACACACACACATTTACACACACACATTTACACACACATTTTTACACACACACACACACATTTACACACACACATTTACACACACACATTTACACACACACATTTACACACACACACATTTACACACACATTTACACACACTTTACACACACATTTACACACACACATTTACACACACATTTACACATTTACACACACACACACACACACACATTTACACACACACACACATTTACACACACACATTTACACACACATTTACACACACACATTTACACACACACACATTTACACACACACACATTTACACACACATTTACACACACATTTACACACACACATTTACACACACATTTACACACACATTTACACACACATTTACACATTTACACACACACATTTACACACACATTTACACACACATTTACACACACACACACACTTTACACACACATTTACACACACATTTACACACATTTACACACACATTTACACACACACACATTTACACACACACACACATTTACACACACACATTTACACACACATTTACACACACATTTACACACATTTACACATTTACACACACATTTACACACACACACACACATTTACACACACACACACATTTACACACACATTTACACATTTACACACACACATTTACACACACATTTACACACACATTTACACATTTACACACACATTTACACACACTTTACACACACATTTTACACACACACACACACATTTACACACACATTTACACATTTACACACACACACACACATTTTACACACACACACATTTACACACACATTTACACACACACACATTTTACACATTTACACACACACATTTACACACATTTACACACACATTTTACACACACATTTTTACACACACATTTACACACACACATTTACACACACATTTACACACACATTTACACACACACATTTACACACACACACATTTACACACACACACACATTTACACACACATTTACACACACATTTACACACACACACACACACATTTACACACACACATTTACACACACATTTACACACATTTTACACACACACACACACATTTACACACACATTTACACACACATTTACACACACATTTACACACACATTTACACACACACATTTACACACACACATTTACACACACACATTTACACACACATTTACACATTTTACACACACATTTACACACACACATTTACACACACATTTACACATTTACACACACACACATTTACACACACATTTACACACACACATTTACACACACATTTACACACACACATTTACACACACATTTACACACACATTTACACATTTACACACACACATTTACACACACACATTTTACACACACATTTACACACACACACACATTTACACACACACACACACACATTTACACACACACATTTACACACATTTACACACACACACACATTTACACACACACACACACATTTACACACACACAT